TGGATTTTTTAAAAATACAATAAAATAAACATAAAAAATGAAAGTAGCATTTTTATCACCACCAGAATTTACCAGAATCTAACTGCATATGGAGATCTCAACTAAATGGTTTTTTTTTTTCAAAAAAGGGCCCTATTATATATAGTTTTTGGATTCTGACCACACAGGAAATACAGTTTTGGTTTCTATTGTTTTTTTAACATTAGGAAGCCAATAGGTTATTTTTCTAATGTGCAATCTAAGATATTGATCTCTCACTTTATTATACAGTTGATATTCAAAATAATAGATTATATTTCATCTTCTATCTCAGGAATAAATATAGGTGTGTTCATTGAAAGGGATTTGGAAGATTTAACTCAATACTTGGCAATTTGGAAAGTACTTCCATAGCAGCCAATGCATTTCAATGTGCCAACCTTACTGAGTATGGCTATTATCATTCTCTGTTTTGAAAATCCTGGCTTCCTTATGCAGCAATTTTTAGCTTTTTCTCCAGTTGTAAGAAAGATAGTAAGGTCATATATGTAATATAATTTTCAGTTGTTCAATCCAAGAACATTTAAATTGATATGTATTTATTCTAACAGACTTTGTCAACTGGCATACCATTAATTTTTTAAAAAATAATTATTATATACCTTAATTTTATAAATTATATGAAGTTTTTGAGGGCAGCAGCTGAAATCCTTTTATCCACCCTTAAGATACATCTCAGATGATGTGGCAGGATTTGTTCTAGTGGTGATATAAATTAAATCCCAAAGTTCACCTCAATATAAATGTATGGTAGTAACGTTGGCCTTTCGTACTTTAATAAATCAGGCTAAAGAAACTGCACAGCTATGAGTTTTTAAAATGTTAACAGTGTCTTTACTTGTATCTTTGGTCTAAATGAGCTACTTTGATGTTGAGGGAGCCAAAATCCAGTAACAGAGAAAAATATCCCTGGTAAGGAAAGGTATGAACTTGCTCTATTGACTCATCATCAAGTAACCCTATATGGCAATGTTGTCATTTTCCAAAGACCAAAACCTTTGACTGGAGGAAAACCTCCATTAATGGAGCACCTACAACTGCATTAATTGTTCTCACTGTCAGTGCTTGTAGAAAGGGTTTTGAGTAGAATCAACATTCTGAGTTCCATTTTAAGGACAATCATTTTCTTCCATAATATTTTTTGTTTACTGTATCAAATGCTCTAAAGGCAGCAAAGCTTTATTTCCTCTGACTGATATTTTTGTAGTTAGATGGTTCAGGACAATACAATTGTCAATAATGGATCACATCTGCCTAAAGACTGCTGGTTCTTCTACAAGGAATGTATGTTTCATCTACCATTCCCAACTCTATTCAAGTGGAAGCTGGTATATATTTACAACACAATTTCTGTTAGACAAATGGATCTGGAATTGATAGAATCTGTTGGGATAGAATTGTAGTTGGAAACCACAATTGTCATCTTAAATCCAAATGGGTACAGCAGGTATTATTTATATGAGTAAATAAACTTGCCAATAGAGGGTCCTACCAGCTGGAATATTTCTTAAATTGTTCAGCTGGAAGAAAATCAAATCCGAATTAATATTGTTCTTCAAACCTTGTGTAATGAATTTGATCATGAGCATTTTAGGACAAAATAGTTAACATGTTGGATAATGTATTTGTAGGGTTTTTTAATATGATTTGACAATTAGTCTCTCTTTACCATCACAGGTCCACAGCAGAAGCCCTCAAAGCAAAGTGGATGGTCTCATGAGTAGATGTTTCTGTTTTGATCCTTGTTCCCTCCCTCCCACTTTTATATCCTACAATGTAAGTAACCTACAATGGCCATAGTGAAAAACATATTCTTGAATTCTATACAGAAGATATGGTTGGATATGCCATCAAACACTACCACCTCACTCGGTTTGCCAGATAAGGAAGGGAGTATAAACACAAACCTGTGTAACTTTGTAGGGGCTGGCCAATGTTGTCATCTGGATGGATATGTCTTCAAGAGCTCCATCAACAAGGGCCAAAAGGTTGTCCTTCCTTCCACAGCTGTAGTTGGGAACATTGGCTTCTCCAGTGGACAGCATGTCCAACAAAGCATCTGAAGTGCCAAGTGTGTTCAAATAATTGTCATGGATGTTGCAGCCAAGTGTGAGATTGTGCGGGAGCTGGTGCTTTTTATTAACCATTTCAATATTGAAAATCACACGTAGTATATATTTATTTCGATGAGATGAACTAGTGTAAAACTATTCTCTTATTAGTAGTATTAGAATCAGCAGCAGCTACAATAAAATATTTTTCCCTATTTAATCCATTCCCTCCCCCTCCACAAGCTAAGTGAAAATTAAGCCAATATTGATCCAAAACCAGAGGCAAATGATAGTCACCCATCACCCTTTAATATTTGTGAGTTTGGAGTATATAGAATGGACATAGTCCTCCAAAACAACCAAAATCAGAAATACACTACTATTTTTAGCAGTACTAATTTTCATCAGCGCAGTAAACTGTTTGAGAAATATTTCAGTCATTAAACAATCATAGACGGAAGAGAATTGTTGATGAGTGACTCAGAAAAGCTGTTCTAAAAACAAGACATCCTTATTCTTGTAAAGTCAAGGACTGAATATTAATCAGAGGTTATAAAAGTATGGAAATGAGCTTGGTGGGGGGAACTACAATAATAACTACTTTCAACAAAACTCACTACTCTAAGCCATGAATTGAGGATTGAACAGGGAAACATAAATAATGTGGCCTTTTTCAGGTTTTATTTGCATGTTTTGATTTGAGCCTCTCCCAGAAATTAAGACAAAGAAGATAGAGACCTTGGAAAACTTTAGAGTTCAATAAATTAGTTATGTCCTGCAGTATAAAAATGGGTAAAATAAAAATAAGAAAAAAGAAGGTGTTAGAATTGCAAATGGAGGGAATGAAAGTCCATCATAATGAATGACTTACAACTCAAGCCTAGAAGGAGCTCTGTTGAAAGATAATGTTGAAGGCGCTGTTGTTGATTCAGAGATGACTATATCAATGAGAAAATCTCCTGGCCTATAATAGCTCCATGGCTTTTTTCCATCCTGGTGGTCCAAATTCAGTGGGCACTTCATTCTAAGCTTCCCAGAGACTGGCTGGGACACCAGCAGCATCAGAAGCAGAAGCAGGAGGTTCATAATTCCTGGGGTTGAATCTCCTTCCTGTTTTTCAAGACGAATTAACAGAATTCAAAGAACACTCACAGGATAGAATATTCTCTGGCTTTCCTGATTCAAAGAGACAAATCAAGATTCAGAGAAAAAACACACATTCAAAAGCATAGCTACTGCTGTCCTGTAACTTCAGCCACAAAGAGCATAACCGGTAGTATTTATTCTTTTCTAATACAAGATCCCTTCCATGTTGCTTCAGTCTCATGTTTACATCAGAAGCAATCACTGGAGAAGTAGAAGAGGTCTCAAGGCCTGTGAGGTGATAATTACAGTGAGAATGAACTTTTCACCTTGGCACCCTTCACTTCTTCCATCTAATGAGAGGTAAGTGGAAAAAAGCACTTAGGTGAAAAATCACGGATACGTCCCTTGAGGCAGTGTTGTGTAGTGGTCATAGTCTTTCCTGTTAGGACATGCCCATAAAGTGATGCTGATGCAAGATACTTCAACAGCCAGGAAAGTGACTTCTATTGTCCTTCAATGGGGTCTCTTGCCTCCAGAGACTGCTAGGGAAGGACACCCAGAGCTATGGAGCTTGGTGTCACTTGACAATTGACTCTAGTGCTGTCTCTACTCTAATGCCATGGAAGCAATCAGTATCCTTGAACTCAGCCTAAGGTTAGAATAATAGTTTAACAGAATTGGAAGGAACTTTAGAGGTCTTCTAGTCCAACCCCTAGCTCAAGCAGGAGACCCTATATCATTTCAAACAAGTAGCTCTCCAGTCCATCTGAGGGTGATGCTATCTTTACCACATTGTTCTAGTTTACCAAGAAGTAGGTTGTGGTCTATTTTGTCAAATACCTGACTGAAATCCCAGTATAATACTATGTCCATATCTGATCCACTAATTTAATCACTTGGCCTTTAAGACAAAGAGTAGGACTTGTTGGGGATTTTCTTTTCAATGAGATCTTCATACATTAATCCTCAATTGGAGCTCATTTTATAATTCCTTGTAACTGAAGTGAAATTTCATTTGCCATCTTTTCTAGAAATATCTTTTTTTGCATGAGCTGACTGACAAACAGGAAAGTGATGACCAATGGACTGTATCATTGGGTAAGAGAAAGATTTTTTGTTTTAGTTTCCATGACACTTTCTGTGTTGTCTTTCCATACTGATTAAAACACTGAGAGCCTTGACATTTTTAAATCTCTGGTCTGCAGCTGAGATGGTGGCAGTGCCCACAGGGTGGTGGATGGTGTGACCTGATTTCTTGCCAAAACCACTCGGAAGTTGGTGCTGGCAGACCTGGTGGCAGTTCCTCTGGTTTTATAGATGAAATTGGTGTGGTTCAACTTGTCTGACATTCTCATCCCTGACACTTTGTTTGAAACTCCACCCCAGACGACCTTCAAGTGCTTCAGAACTACAGTTTGGAATCCCTATGTTCTGATTTATCTTGGTTGATTTTTGATGGATTCTGTTGCTTATCTCTAGGGCAAATGTTCATATGGAAATCTTGGCCTAGAAGAGAGAAATGGAAGTTTGAGTGAGAGGGTGAACTGATGGGATGGGCAAGTCCATCCTTAAAAGGAAGAGCATTGGATGACCAATATTCCAGGTCCTTTATTTGAAAGTTGTCCCACTGTATGGTCCTCATCTTCCTCTCTCAATGCCTGGTAACCAGATCTTTGGTGGCTCCAGGTTCCAACTGTTGTTTTTGAATGCTAACATGGCTTCTCTTGCCCATGGTGTTACCTACATTGTCTCACTGAACACTCTGTGTGCCCAGAGTGGCACACTGAAAGTTCAGTGGCCACATTTCTAACTCTTCTCAGCTAGAAATGTGGCCACCTAATTTGTGGCCTCAGGTGAGAGCCCAGGAAAGTGGAGGAGCGGTGGCTGTAGTCATCCATGGTTTGTCATTGGCTCTTAGCAGGCTGCACCTGGAACTACCTTTTGTCCAAGAGTGGCTGTAAGTACATTTCCCCAGCCTGGTGAAGTATGTTGTGTGAATGTGAGCCTTAGTGGAACAAAAGTATCTCCCTCTTATTTCTCTTATAAATGATTGTTCAGCTAGTCCCTGCTGTATTGATATACATAATTCACTGGCCCTTCGGCTGACAGGTTCAACCCAGAGGTGGATTCCTACCTATCTGGTCCCATATGGGTGAATAGGTAGGAACTCTGGTGGACACGTGACCATACTGGTTCTATCCTTGGTGGTGACATCTTGGTTTTCTGTCCTGCAAGTGAACAGAACAATCTTCATTGAAAAAAAATAATTTCCCTCTTTTTGATGTTGTGCGCATGCACAGACAGTTTTAAGTGCAAATGCCCTGCCCATCCACCCCACCCAGTCACTCCTCAGCTTCTGGGTGGCTTCCCTGCCTAAGCTGCCACGTGGTGCCTGCCAACTCAGCTGCCTCCTCCTCCTGCCTACAGGTAAGTGTTGCTGGTCCCCACACCCTGAAGCTTGCTGTGCCCACCCATCTCCACCGGGCTCACAACCTTCCCTTCCCCCACCCCTTCTAGGATCCACATGAGCCCCATTTTGGCTCCCGGGGGCTTCAGGGAGGCCTGGTAGGCCCTAAATAGTGCATGGGGGTGCCTATGAAAACTCCCTGCAGCCCCCTGGGAGCAAAAAATGGAGAAAGGAAGGAAGGGAGGGAGGGAGGGAGGGAGGAAGGAAGGAAGGAAGAAAGAAAAAAAGAAAGAAAGAAAGAAAGAAAGAAAGAAAGAAAGAAAGAAAGAAA